TAACAAGAGTGCTTATATATAGACATAAGAGGAGTAATATGTGCGTATGCATGTTCCTAGAGGTGTGTAGTATGTGCGAGTGTATACTAGCGTCCGCTTCTATATTATTTTTCTGATATCTGGCATACACGTGCATGCTCGCATATATTTTCAAATAAACGAAGTCACCTGTAGCATCCAAGTAGTTGTGGGGGTGAATCATGCACATGGTTCGACCTGACTGATACAGCAGCAAATGCGTAGGCGACCGACCGAAATACGTGGCCATTATTATTACTGTTATTTTGAAATTTCAAACAAATAGAGAGGGCGAGGGCGGCATAGGGCAAACTTTTATCTATCCTTTCTTGGAACCTTGATGATCAGTACCGACGATTTGCCCATGGACAGCAAGTTAAATTAAGACCCAATGCTGCCAGCGAGACGAGGAAGTTCTAGAGCAATTGTTGAATTTTTGACTGCACCTGTGACCAAGCTGATTGGTTAAAACTAGAGCCAAAACCGTTTGTGCCTCGAGCATTTAATGTCACTAGCCGCTCACCCGTGTGGTGCACGGACTATTATTATTATTAGTGTTTAATTATAATAGTACATATGACTTAATAAGTTTGTTAAATATTTAAGAACGAACTAAAATCAGTATTAAATATTAAATCACTTAGAAGTGTTGTAACTTCTAAACTGGGTATGTATGCAAGGTCGAAATAATTATAATATTGTTTCAAATAGACAGTTTTATACTTGCATTCGACAGATATTTCACGTTTTCTTATCCTACAGGACTCATGTTTTATTTTTTTTACCTTTCCTTACAAGATCTATAGATAAATGGGATCTGTCACTTTTTTCATGATTAAGGTAATAATAGAAGACATGAAATGCTTTTAGTAATTCATCCTACATACAGTACATGTCCACGCGAATGCGCGGGCTATCTTCGTAGTTTCTGTTAATAGCTAAATCAGTCTATATATCGTTCATCTTTGATTCTTTTCTGTAATCTAATAGGTCATATTTTTGTTTATACTACCACATCAAATGTTAATAGTAGATGGAATAACTCATAAATCAACAGTTAAGATCATTGCTATATGGAATAGAGTATTATATATGGTGGCCTCATCTTTTGCATTGGTTTTGGGGTGTTTAGATCCAGTGGTGTAAAATTTTAACGTGTCACATCAGGTATTATATAGGGTGTCGCATGGGGTGTTCGGACACTAATAAAAAAACTAATTACATAATCCGTCAGTAAACCGCGAGACGAATTTATTAAGCCTAATTAATCCATCATTAGCAAATATTTACTGTAGCACCACATTATCAAATCATGGAGCAATTAGGCTTAAAAGATTCGTCTCGTAAATTAGTCGTAATCTGTGCTATTAGTTATTTTTTTAGTCTATATTTAATAATTTATACAAGTGTTCAAACATTAAATGGCCTATTCTGTTGTGAACGGTACTGAATGGAATCCCCCAGTCCACATTCGATCGATCCTCGTATAGCTCTGACTGTAGTGCAAAGTTCCATTGCATGGACGTGGTTGATTTCAAGGAGTCATGGAGATTATCTGAGCCCTTCACGTCATGATCATAGACCCGGCATCCATCCGACAGAATTGACCGGCCCTTGACTAGATCCCAACTTTTTTTTTCAAACTTTCAACTTTTACATCACATTAAAATATTTCTACACACGTAAACTTATAACTTTTTTCTTCAAACTTTCAATTTTAGTCAAACTTCCAAATCTATTATATTATTAAAGGAATAGAAAAAGGAGCCTCCACGTTCGCTCTCATGGCCTAGAAATTCTCACATTAATCGAAAAAAGAAAAAACAGAGTCCATATAGAAATATAATTTAGAAATAGCTGAAATTCGGAATTAAAAAATAAGGAATATTAGAATAGAAGACTAGAGTCCATATAGAAATACAATTTAGAAATAGTTGAAATTCGGAATTAAAAAATAAGGAATATTAGAAGAGGAGACTAGAGTCCATATAGAAATACAATTTAGAAATAGTTGAAATTCGGAATTAAAAAATAAGGAATATTAGAAGAGAAGACTAGAGTCCATATAGAAATACAATTAGGAAATAACTGAAATTCGTAATTAAAAATAAGGAATATTAGAAGAGAAGATTAGAGTCCGTATAGAAATACAATTAGGAAATAACTGAAATTCGGAATTTAAAATAAAAAATATTAGAAGAGAAGACTAGAGTCCATAGAAATACAAATATAGGAATATAATTTAGAAGTAACTGAAATTCAAAAAATTAAAAAATTAAAGAATATTGAAAGATGAGTTTAGAGTCCACATAGAAATGCAATTAGAAATAATAAAAATTAAGAAATAAAAATAAATAATATTGGAAGAAAAGCATAGAGTCTATATAGAAATACAATTTATAGAAAATTTAGAATTAAAAAAAGAAATATTAAAAGACGAGTCTTGAGTCCATATAGGAATATATATAATTTACAAACAACTAAAATTTGATATTAAAAATAATTAATAATTAACACGTATATAAAATATAATATGAAATATAAGAAATAAAAATAAATAATATTGGAAGAAGAGCATAGAGTCTACATAGAAATACAATTTACAGAAAATTTGGAATTAAAAAAAGAAATATTAAAAGACGAGTCTAAAGTCCATATAGGAATATATATAATTTACAAATAACTAAAATTTAATATTAAAAATAATTAATAACTAACACGTATATAAAATATAATATAAAAATTAAGAAATAAATATAAATAATATTGGAAGAAGAGCATAGAGTTTATATAGAAATACAATTTACAGAAAATTCGAAACTAAAAAAAGAAATATTAAAAGACGAGTCTAGAATCCATATAAGAATATATATAATTTACAAATAACTAAAATTTAATATTAAAAATAATTAATAACTAACACGTATATAAAATATAATATGAACATTACACATTAGTAGTTTTGTAGAGTTATTGCAAAATTTAAAATTATATTGTTATTTTAATATATTTGAATAATATAATGAGAAAACATATAAAAATATAATGATGCTAGCCGCTCAATCTGCGTGGGCCACAATACTACTTTGATATGAAATTAAACACACCCTCGATCATCTTCCGAGTATAGATGTGGCGTACGTGAACATGGATGGATTTGTTTCTCCTGATTTTACCCCGTTTGCGTGTTTCAGAACAGTGCCTGTTTCTGGTAGTTGTAACATGGAGAATTTTGCTTGCTGTAAATCTGTAATTCTCTCCGGCAGCGCGCTCTAGCTCCTGGCATCAGCGGTCTTTCTTCACCATTATGGAGCTCATGAATTTTTTTTAAACACATCACATTTTATTAAAAGACAAAGTTTAGGGGAAATGAATTCCGAACACATCACCAGGAGATAGATAAGAGTTGAACCATCTTTAACAAGAGAGAGGTCAACTGAAGAAAGAAAGCAAACTTCCTAATGAAACTAGACAGCAATAAAGGAGCAAATCTACAGGGTACTGCAGCAATGCCGTGATGACTGCATCGTAGGGCCTGTATTGATATTGATGTGCACTCCGCTTGACAAGCCGTTAAATCCCTTCGACTGCCTCCACCGGAACAACACATATGAAAGGTTTGTTGCTGAGCCGTAGATTTTGGTGTGAGTTCCAAAAGTTTCCATATCCATACCTGTTTTCAAAAATTTTAAGGCCATATAATAAACACTAAATCTCCCAACCCTATCCAAAATAGTATACTACTGTAAGACATCTCAATTTTTTTCCTCTGGAGGGGGGGGGGGGGGGCTACTCATTTTGAAATGGCTAGAGATTTCTTTGAGTGAACACAATCCAAAGTCTCCCAACCCTATCCCCGATGAGATGTTATGCTTATGATATAGGGTGGTACTGTTGGTTACTAAAATTTGGAATTTTTTGTTTTAAAGAAAAATTGGAAGCTTAGTTTGCCTAAGGTTGTTAGAACTGAGGGGATCACCTATACATTTGTCGATAAAATTTCTCCTAAAAATTTGACAAATGTAATTACAATATAGTCGTAGTGTAGTTACACTGTAAATTACGTGTAATTACACTGTAACTACAATGTAATTTGTATGTAACTTTCACATAATTTTAAACCGTTAGATCTAAGTCACAACACGTACATGTGAGAGGATTTGTTCCCATACTCTATTTTACCGAAATAACATGTTACGTAGAGATTTTTAAAAGTTACATACAAGTTACATTGTAGTTACAGTGTAATTACACTATGGCTGTACTGTAATTACATCTGTCAAACTTTTAGGAGAAAATTTATCGATAAATATATAGCAAAATTGATATGTAATTATGACACACTTACGTCGGATATGAATATTATAAAATTATGATACAAAATGGGATTAGAACCGTTCTATCTTGGTAGGTAAGATACCATGATTTAAATCGACATACCACTAACCTTACTTCTAAATACCCCTCATTTAACAAGGGGCATCGATGTCATTTTTCTCTTTTCTACTATCTCGTAAGAGTAGTTATTTTAAATGTTAGACTTATACTACTACTACATTTGTTTCATATTATAAGTTGTTTTGAGATTTTTAAATCAATCTTTTTAGGTTTAACCAAGTTTATAAAAAAATATAGAAATATCTTCAACACAAAACAAAAGAACTATCAAAATATGTTAATGAAACTAATTTAATGCTTTAAGTGTGTACTACATTTTTCTATAAATTGGTTAAATTTTCAAAAAGAATTAGAAAATCGAAGGGAACTTAGGCTGTGTTTAGTTCACGCTAAAATAGAAGTTTGGTTGAAATTGGAACGATGTGACGGAAAAGTTGGAAGTTTATATGTGTAGAAAAGTTTTGATGTGATAGAAAAGTTGGAAGTTTAAAGAAATATTTTGGAACTAAACACGGCGTTATTTTGATACGGAGTGAATAGTTCCAGTTAGCAGCTTGTGTGTACATGGCACAGTACATACCAGCTGGGTTTGCAGAGAAAGTGTGACAGTGTGACAGATGTGCATCATGTGGGTCACAAACTCATTTCACAGTCACACACCAGATAAGCTTCCTCCCCTCCCCTGCATCCACTCCACAGTCCACCACACCACAAACGTATCTGCGGACTGCGGCGATCGATTTGGGAGGAGAGGATTCAGACGACGATCGATCGCTCAGAATTCAGATGACCAGCGTGAGGCGAGCAGACAAACGCAGCTGATTCGACGGATTCAGAATGGCATCATCAGTTGCAGGCTCAGTGACTCGTCGTCCTCCTCCCGTGCTGCTGGCTTGCCGATCGCGACCAAATAATCGTCGCCTCATCAGATTGTTACCGCTCCTCTTCGCCGTCGTCGTCTTGCTTGCTCTTCTTCCACCATGCGTTCATGGAGCTCGTGCTCTGAATGATGCCAAAGAAGCCAAAGGTCAGTCACTGTTGTTAAGATTTGCTGCTAGTTGATCTGCTTCGTCAGGAGAGTGAGATTAGTGTTTGTGTCAAGTGTTTGATCGTGAATTGCAGTTGCAGAGGCCAGCGACCAGACGACGACGACGACGCACGCCGCGGCGGCGGCGGTGGCTCGGTGGTCTGTCACCGTGAGGGAAGGAGGAGGTGGTGGTGGTCACGGCAGCGGCCATGCCGGCGCCGGCCACGGCCACGGCAGCGGCCACGGCAGGCCGGAGCCAGCCGAGCACCACACGGGCAGGCGCAGCGCGGCGGCCGGATCCGTGCGCCCTCCCATGGCGGCCTCCTGCGCCGCCCTCCTTGTCGCCGCCGTCGTCGCTCTGCTTCGCTTCTGAATGAATGAATTCTGGACCCGAATCGCTCCCGATTTCGCATTTGAATTTAAATCGATTCATCTTGCTGTGTGTACATAGAATGAAATGAAATGAATCCAAATGAATCGCCAAGAATCCGCCCGATTCGGGGATTCCCGGCGAGATTTTTCCGCATCTTCAATCTGCAATTTTGTGTGTGCGCTTTCCAAGAAATCGAGATTTTGTTGAATGCGTTCTTGGAATCGTATAATCCGTTGCTAAACTTAAAAAACGTACTCATCTTTCCACGAATTGCATTTAAATACGTAAGCTGCGGCCATCCTACGGTACACCGAGCAAAATAAAATTCACCAACCATGGATTCACCGGTCAGGAAACAATGGCTGCTCCTCCTCGTCTTCTTCCTCCTGGCCTCCTCGTGTGTTCTTGCAGCCGGTGATTCGTCTGCAATTGGCAGCAACGAATTAACGGGCAAGCAATTCAATTCATTCTCTCCATTGATCTCTCTCTCTGCTCGTGGTTAGATTGATCTGATCCCAGTGGCGTCTTGTTTGTCTTGAATCTTGATGATGAGCAGGAGCTGAGGAGAAGAAGACGGCGAGCACGGCGGCGGAGTTGGCGGTCGTAGTAAGAAGCTCCCACGGCGATCACCATGGCCGCCACGGCCGCGGTGGCCGCAAGCACAAGGGCAAGAAATCCGGCGCCGCCGCCTCCGACCGCCGCCCCGGAGGTAGCACGGCGATCGCTTGCTGCGGCGTCGCCTCGCCGCTGCTGCCAATTGGCTGCTTCCTCTCTAGTTCGATGTACTTAGGCTCAATGGTAGTAGAAGATTAGTTGATCAGGGGTTAATTTTGTTTAGCTATCCTTTTTGGTATTCTTTCACTATCTTTTTCACATTTTCATGTTAGAGTGATTTCACTGGTTTGTAAGGCGGCAGTGTTAATTTATGGCATTGTAACTTAACACCGTATTGAGAGATCATCAAAATTTAAATTAGAACTGTACCTCCTTAAAAGCAGTAGAAAATCTCATTTAGTTAACATTCTCTCTGTCTATACTCTAAAGAAGAATGGGTTTACGAAAGATATTGTCATATTTTTCACTTAATTTTAATCATACTCTTTCTACTATAGTAGGTGTTATGAAACTACAAGGTGATCTCATGATGGGATCGCAACCGAAGCAACCGCGTCTCTTCCACTCGATGATCCGTCGCAACGGGCGCGATGGTTCCCAACCTTCGCGTCTACGGTTGCCACCCCTTCATTGATCAATAAAGAACATCCGATTCATTCGCTCAATTCTCTCTTACTCGTTCTCAATCGATTCTATTCACTTTCAACAGTAGGTATGCTCAGATGGATTCTTAACACGTGTTTTGATGAGGGCTCAGCTTGACCCCTTTTTTTTTTCTAGGCTTGAAATAACCCAAGACCTAAATGTGCCATTTGAGCATTGTAAGCTCTAGACTACGTACTACATCGCAAAACTTAATTACAATATAAGTTGTAAAACTGATTTAACTATTTATTTTTAAAATGTGCCGTCGTAAATATAGCTAAAAAAAATAATTCTAGCCATGCAACTGGCTAGAATGGGGACATAGATAATACGTCATATATATGTTTTGTGTCATAATGCCGTGCTAAAACATGTTTTTATTTTTCACTCATTTTTTGGGTGTTGTCGTTTTTTTAGGTGTGGCTGTATACATCCCTGGGATGTAATGGCAAGGTTTTATTTAAATCCATTATTTAAAAAAAAGGTTTTTAGGTCCGGTCTTTCTTTTAAAACGAGCCAACTCTCCTTGATATATCCCGTGTAACTCCCCTCATCAGAGTTTTAATTTTTATTAAAGGTCCTTATGATGTGCATCTAAAAGAACAACGATTTGAATGTATTTTCTTTTGAAACAAGGAGTCCCATCTTCATGACAAAAACAATGAAACCGGAGTACAAGGACCCAAGAAAGAAAAAGAAGTACAGAAACTCTGCACAAAAAGAAACAAGTATAGAAAACTTAGCATGATTACTACTTTATGCTCCAAAAGGATCTAAACAAGCTAAGCTAAATATAGTTTTAAACAAGAACCATTAACAAAAACACCATGCCAGGCCAAAATTCAATCCCATAAAAAAAATGGAAGACTAATTGTCTGTATGGAAGGAGCTAACTCTGAATGTTGCTGCCAACACAATCATTACTAGTTTTAGTTTTGTGCCTAAAGTTGATCTTACAAACCATTTGAGCTTCCTGGAGAAGTTGTTACAACCATTTGAAGAGTAGATGTTCTACTGATTCGAGGCACTGAACAAAACATGCTCCTCTTGGATCCTTTCCACACTTTGGGGATCAGGTTTTCTTTAGTGAGAATACAATTCTGCAGCATCAACCATATGAGCACCTTAATCTTCAGAGGCAAGTTTGTGTTCCACAAATACTTGTGTGTGAACGCTGCCTGAGTGATTTGATCAAATTCAAAGCCTACCTATGCATATTTGCCTAAACAGCACAAGTTAGTGTTCTACATGACTTGTTCCATTCTGAATAGCTCTGGTCCTTAGTAATTATTGGCTGAATAGCTGAATGATTTGTGATAATATTTCATGGGTACAAACAAATAAATTAACTATGATAAAGTTGGAAAATGGATTTAAAATAGTATAACAAGAAATTCGCACATATATATTTTTTTCTACAAAATCGTACCGTTTAGGAGTTTGGGAAGCATTCATGTTAATTCTATTCATTACAAACGACCAGGTCATGACATTTCATACCATCAATTGGTACAAGACCCACATGCGTAATTGGGCGGGCCAAACAACACATCTAAAATGTGCAATAATAGTACTAGTCCTTAAAAAAAACAACTTGGTGCATATCTTTTAAATATGACCACCTTTTGCTGCATTGTTGCTTATTAGTAGGATAATGCTTTTGGGGAAAGAAAGCTGAGGATAAGAAAAAAAAAAACAGGAAACATGTATTAGTGCTGGATGTTACAAAATAAAGAAATAAGAAAAATAAACAATAAAGTTGGTGTCCATAGCTCTGGCAGTACAAGTGGAAAGTTCCTTGAAGAACTTATTCTATCTCATTTTTAAAGGATTTTTAAGGGAAGGATGAAGAGTGTTGGTAGCAGAGGCAGAGTATCAGTTCAGTTTACACTACTACTACATCATTAGCTCTGCTCATTGCAGCCATGGAGAGTGCAAAGAGATCTTGCCTTGCTATCTCCCTCATCCTACTCCTACTCCTTGTTCCAAGTATCCATGGAGCAAGGCATGTTGCTGCAGCTATCAAGGGTACAGGTACGCAGTGTTCCTTCTCTTCTCTGCATGTCTGTCTTAGTAGGTTTCTTACACCATAGTATCCTTATATGCATCGTTTTTTTCAGCTCTATGTTTCTATGAAACAAATGATGACAACTCCCGTGTATATATGTTTTGTATTGTATCTGCATAGAACTGTATGTTTCTGAATGTTTGTAAAGTTGTTATTAACATGATTTCTATGGTTCTGTTGGGGTTGGACATGATGTTCGACTATTCAACTTAACTTTCGTTCCACTACTTACAATATTAGTTTTGTGGGAAACACATGAAGATTTGTTTGTTTATTACAAGCATTATGCACGATGAATTTTTTGATTATGTCAAAAGTACAACCAACACCAGAAGTGGGTCCCTAAAAAAGAAAGGCAAGATTATAGCTGTGGTTGGTTCCCTTTGGCTAATTGCCATAAGTTTAGATAAGCAAAACCTTAGAAAATATTTGAAATTTATCTACACCGTGTATTTCTTGAGGAAATTATCTACACCCTATTATTTGTAAAACGTTTCTAATTTCATTTTGGGTAGCCTCGCATAAGTTGTCGTCCCGTTTATCTATCTATATATCTTCCTTCCTCACTAATCAAATGCATATCCACCTGCAAAATGAACAAAAGTAATTGCAATGTCAAGCATGGCCCTACTGATTAATTGTGTCCGTCGATGGACCGAAGAATTCAGTACTAAATTAAAATGTTCAGATCTGGAAGAAATTTCTTGGAAAACAAAGCAGTTGATTTCCTTATTGTTAAAATATTATTCAGTCCAAACATGCCTATATTAGTTAGTAATTAACTTATTCAAAACATATCAAGGGTCTGGCTGGCCTAGATACTTGAATCTCCAGTCAAAAATCAATAAACAAGACAATAATAATAATAAAAACTTGATGAATACTCATGTGGTGTGTGAGCGCGCAGATCAGGCATCCTGCCTGAAAACCCTGTCAAGAACAGATGCTCTGTCCTGTCCATGTGGGGGAACACAGTATAATTAATGAGATATTATTCCCCTGCATTTCCGGAGACCCTTGCACTGCACGCCGTTAATGATACTTAATTATATTCCTAACTAATGCTCTCGTGATATCACACAAAGTGATTATTCACCAATAATAAATATAACATGGCATCATCACGTCCTGTTTACAAACAAACAACCTGATGATCATGTGTCATGCTCGATCCAGAACAAACCATAAAAAAGAGTAGAAAAAAACAATTTTAAATTTTGAAGGACATATAAAATCAAGTACTCGCTCTGTACTACTCCCTCCATTTACTTTTGATAGTTATATTTCCAAATCTGAAAAATTTATTTTTGATATGTATATTTCAATCCAACAACCTATCAAATTAATGATTTTTTTGGATTTAATGCGTGACTCTTCATTCTTCCACACAAGATTAGCTATATAGGCATCGAGAAATGTAAATATTAATGAATCGCTTGTTTACGAGGAATGACTAGTAGCATGTTTAAATGGATGATAAGTAGGATTATTTATCCTTGGTCTATATGCTAAGATGAAATATGACTATTAAAAGTAGATGGAGGAAGTAGAATATAAGGATTTTTAGGGTTAGACACGTGTAACTAGATAAAATTAAATGGGATTGAGAAGTGGAGGTAGATGAAAAAATTTGAATGGTGAAGGGTTGTGATTGATTGAGAATAGAATTTTGGTGAAGAAGTTTTATATTTTGAGACAAATCTTAAGGGTTAGAAATTGTTATATTTTGTGATGGATGGAGTAATTAACTTGAATATGTTATTTTATGATTATCTAAAAAAATATGTTATTTTGTGGCACGTGAAGAACAGAAACTTGCTGATACAATTTCAATTGATACTATACGTGTGTTTTTTTTTATATACAGGCGCCGACAGCGAGATGGTGGTGACGGAGAGGACGGCCGGCGGCGGCGGCGGACATGGACGCGGTTACACAAGCCACCGGTCGCACAACCCCAACAATCCCAACGACGGTGGCTCCGGCACGCCGGTGGTGGACCCGCACAATGTCGCCACCAGGGGCCACCACCACCGCGGCGCGGCGACGAGGACGGCCGCCGGCGGCGACCCCCGCCTGGCAGCCTGCATGCTTCGTCTGGGAGCGACCTTCTTCCTGCTGGTTCTTGGCTGAATTATTTATTGGAGGATGGATATGTGGTTATTTTTCTTAAGTTTTTTTACTGCTTTTTAAATTTAATTTTTCTGCGTTTTTGATATAGTGTGGTCATAGTTTTGTGACATGTTAAATACCAAGAGATGATACAAGGTGTATATATACCATGTGCATGTGAAGTTGGGATGTGTGTGTGTTTTGCTTTGCGTGTATGAAGACATATGTATGGAGTTTGTTTGGCAGAATGTGTGGTTTATATGTCCATATCATATTGTTCAATGTAGTACTAGGACCTAGAGATCAGAGAGCATCTCAAATCCTAGTGCTATCAGTACAGATCTTCTATACACCTTAGTGTAATACACCCATTTTGGATTTGCATTTATACACTTCAGAAAATTTTATATGCAATAAACAGGTAAACCATGCTTGTGCATACTCAAAATTTAGTGTAATAACACAACAATATGTGAATATATATAAATTGAAAGTTGCAAACAAATACAAATTTTGTTTTTTTACGAAACACAGTACAAGCACACAGATGCTCATATACACACGCGTGCATTGATCCCAATGAAAGCACACGCAGAAATCCTAGCCTTACCAATTCCGAGAGATTGGGCTGGCATATTTTGAAATTGACAAAGCCACCATTGACATCTTGTTGTCAATAACACGTCGTCACCATGGAAATAATAATTTGCTGTAAATACGATCACTCATGCCAAGTCTAGCACTTCAGTGTCAGCTATCATTGGCAGGTTCCTTAATAAAAAACAGCCGAGCTAACCTCAGTTTGCCAAGTTTCGTTTCTTTCAAGATTGGGGAAATATGTTTATAAATGGATTATTTCAAAGCCGTGAACAAATTATTAGTTGCATATAGGAGTGTTTAGAACTTGAAAGTTTCATCAATTTTGGAATGAAAATAAATTTTCTTGTAAATATTTATTTATTTGGATCAATCAACTATTTTTTGTGGTTTCAATCGTACTTTGCTATGTATGTAGGTCTCTTAATGCAAATGAGAAACTTTTGGAGAAAAAGGTGTAAGCACTCAGAAAATGTTTCAGCCATAGGCTCGGCCAAATCCCCAAAACTAACTAATTAGATCCATGTACGATCAGACATGGATCGTCCCTGGTTTCCTTTCACAAACTAGCGTGACCTGAATTTTGCAACCTATAGTAGATGTGCTACATAAGTCTAGTTTGATCTAGCAATAGGAGATATCAATAAGTACGAAACGAAGAAAGAACAAAAAATTAACTGTATTTAATAAGTAAAAGAAATACATTGCTTTGGACCAGCTATTGGCCACTCAACACACATTTTAATGGAAAAACAGATAGATTTTTAAACCATATGATTAACAACACGTAGCTTACACTAGACAATATAAAACACATAAAACCAATTAATAAGATTAAAATAATAAGAAGTTAATTAGAAAATACATATTCCCCTGTCCCAAAATATAAAATTTTTTTATGGATGCATGGACATGGATTTAGATTCGTAGTACTATGATATCCTATTCAACTAAAATCACTTATATTCTGTGCCACAATAAATATGCCATTTTAGAAAAATGCCACTACTATTCACGATTTTGCGGATGGCGTCAAGGATGGCGGCAGCGGCGGCACTCGAGACCTCCCATCGCGGATGCGATCGAGGACAGAAACGGCGGCGGCGGCTCCCGAGCCCTCCCACGCGGATGGCATCAAGGATAGTGGCGGCGGCGGCGGCTGCAGGTTCCGAGCCCTCCCGTCGCGGATGGGGTCGAGGATAGTGACGGCGGCCGGGGCTCCTGAGCCCTTCCGCGTGGATGGCGTTGAGGACGGCTGCTCCCGAGCCTCCTGCCACAGACGGCAGTGGCAGCAACGGCTCCTAAGTCTCCCGCCGCAGATAGGGCCGACGATAGTGGCGACGGTAGTGGCTCCTGAGGCCTTCACGGAGGTGGCCGATGACAGCAGCAGTGACGGTGGTGGTCGACGACAGTGGTGGAGAGAGAGGAAGGGGAAAGAGAAGAGAGGGGAGGGAAGTGAAGATGAAACTAACAGCTAGGTCCCTCGTGCAGTTGGGGTTAGCGGAGATTTTTGACGGAAAACGTGATGGAGTGGTATGGTTCTAATTTTTTCAAATTCCAATGGCACGTAGCCAATATTGTGAATAGTAATGATATTTTTCTAAAATGGCATATTTTGTAGTGGCATGATCCAATTAACCCTTAAAAAAATATCACTTCATACTGCATGCACGCAACTGGCCCTCCTCGCCTTCTCTTCCCTTTCCTTTAATCTTTTCTTTATAGTAGTTGAGATAATATTTGTTATTTATCATATTAAATTCTAATCAACTACAAATTCAAAATTACACATAAAATTTTTACATACATATAATGTAATAGTTGAGATAGGCTTAAAGTGGTGTTGACATATTTTAAATTATAATAAATAAAAATGTTTTTTGGGTCATATAATGACCCTTTTCATCATATATGACAAACAAATGGCGACATATATTATTTTATTATATATCACTTTTACAAACATGCATAACTAAATTCGCTCTACAATTGAAAACGAAGTTTAGACCATCATATTATTTACCATTAAATTAATATTTTACTATCTGTTTTGAATATATTTCAACTTATAAAATAAAATTATATTTCAGGTTGCATTTTGATTCTTTTCATATAATCCAAACAGACATGAAAATTATATAACAAATGACAATATAAAGCATATCATTATATATCTGTTATCAGTTGACAAATATTTATGACTAAATAGGATGACAAAATCCAAAAATGCTATTGACAAACGCCCAATTTCAACCAATGTCATCAACAATTTTATTTATAAATACTCTACACAAACTAATTTCATTTATATAATTGCTCTCTTATTTCAATTTTAAATTCATTTTTCCAAGAACATAGTAAGTATATGAAAAAAGGAGGTAGCAGAAGTAAATATAAATTTGTTATAATTGGACAAAATTTTCCTCTTACCATATATATCTTAATAGAAAGTTTTTTCCATTAAAATATCCTAAATTCCATAAAGATATCTATAGTACACAAGAAAAGCTATTACTTAAAGTTTAGAAACTCCAAAAATATGATATACTAAATATTAAAAACACATATAGTACAAATGATAGGTCCATACGAATCAACTCCATTTCCACGACACGATATTTTCTCATAAACTCAAGATTTTATGAATTCCAATAAATAATTTTAATGTAGAATTTATATGTTGATAGGGTAGTTAGAAGAAAATCATGACCAACATTTAAAGCAGCGATCCTAAACAAATTATGGACAAAAACATATTTAGAATATAATAAAAACATATTACAAAAAAATCACCCACATGTTAATATTATTCATAAAATTTCAAGCAACATTAAACAAGGTGTCAGTAATGTGCCTGCGGCTACCTTTTCTAGTTACAAATATAAAGACGGGACAAGTTTTTCTGGAGCTACCTAATTAAGATTCGGCAATCTCCATTATTCGTTGTTGAAGCACTCTACATAAGAGTTATGCTCCCTGCCTTGATCAGGTAGTTAATATGTACTCTCTTCTTGGTGATTTTTCTCCGGTCGGGAAGATGAACCCTAATAAAACCTTTATGTAGCATCCTGAGTTTGACTCCTTTACTTAAAAACGCTTTTTATTACGTTTTAAATTTCAAAATTTTGAAATCTCGTGCCATTAATGATTTCAAATTTGATCAATATATCCCTCCATCTAATGTTCCCTCCAAAATTCATCAAGTTTTAAATTCATAATAAAATCCTGAATAAAAAAAATAAAAACTGTACTCCAATTCCAATCCCTTAATAATCTATATACTTACTGCTATAAAAAGCACCAGTTCATCGAACACTTATCTTTTTCGACCCTTAGATCTATTCATCCAACGGATTATATCAAGAGTTGGATCACCCTGCAATTAGCGATTCACCTCTGCTAATCCGCGGTTAGAGCGATCGGTAAAAAGGAGAGAGGAATTAAATCCCACGTCGTCCGGCGAGAGAGAGAGAGGAAAAAAAAAAAAGAAAACCCACGAACAACCGCTCGCTCTGCGGCTTCTCCCCACGCCGAGCGCCGACGCTTCCCTCCCCTTCTGTCGACGCGTGATCTCCTCCCCCACCACGAGCCACTTCCCTCGATCCCTCCCGTCGACCGCGCGCCGCCTCCGCCTCGGCGAGAACCCAGCCACGGGCATGCAGGGAGGGAATCGCTCCTCCTCGCCGACCGTCTCCCATGCCTCCTTCCATCGCCTATGCGCCTCACCGGTCTCTGCCCTCCCCTTCGCCGTTGCAGCACCTCGCCGGCCTCCACCCCCGGTTGAAATCCCGTTTTTTTTTTTGTTTTCCATCGGTTACCTGCAAATTTGAGCCTACATTGTTTTATTGAAACGTGGTCTGTGGATTTGGTTGTTTCAGCCAACGTGGTTTATGGATTTTCAAGTGATCTGTGGATTTAGTGAGTTGCATTGTAATATGGTATTGTAGATCATGTATTTTAGGACTGACTTTTACATTAAACATGCCCCATGGTCCATGGATCTGTGCATCGTAATATGGCCTTTACTTATCTGAAAATTGCTTGTGAATTTTGCTTCTTTATATTCATCAGAATTTTACTTATCTGAAAACTACTTGTGAATTTTACTTTATTATTTACTAATAATAGCTTATTTGTATCCTGAATCATTTGAATAGCTTTTAGATATAAGGGAAGAAAAATGGAGGAGCTGTTGGCCTGTGCTTGGCTAACAAAATTGGTGGAGAGGTATCATGTAACCAAATCAAGCACATAATCCCTTTTCCCTTTTAACATTTATAGTTTCTAATATAAAGTGTTCTAATTGGGGTGAGACTGTTGACTGGCTTACCATCTTGGCCCCTCTTAGTACAAGAGAATATATCACATCGAAGTTTTCCTTCTGGACTTCATGAAGGAATTAATTTTTCACAAGTATCTTTGGCCTAATCACTAATCATCACACTTTGTGCGAAGAAGTCGAGCATTTCTTTGTCGGTCATCTCACAAGTATCGTTGGCATGGATGTCATGCTGGCCTACCCCCTGAATGGTGCTGCTTCAGTATTTGGTGGACTTCAATTTCAGAATGATGTGGTGCTCTAAATTTTTTTTCCTTTTTTTTATCTCAGGTTTGACCTTTGGATTGCATCTTAGGCTTTTGCATGGTCTTCGACTGGTAATAATCTTCAGAATATTCACATTTCCTGTGACCAATACATACCTAAAGTCTAGAATGTCACTATACTTTGGCATGGTGCAAACTTTGGCGAGTTCTGAAATAAATATTCATGAATCATGAGCTAACCTCTGGTTAATAAGTTTTAACATTAAGATCATTGATTTACTACATCCAACATTGATGTTTTAATTTGTTGGGATAAAAATACATGAATTGCTGGTTGATCAAAATAAAAGTTATTGCTTAGGGAGCAACCATAGAATTTGCTCCAGGGAATTTTTTTTTGTCCTAATGACACATTGATTTTCAAATTCTATCAATCCTTTTGTGTGTGCTGTGCAAATCTAATTCATTGGAAAAGATGTTAGAAAAAGGTTTTCCGAAAATGATTGATAGGTTTTGTGCAAATCTACCCCACAAATTGGATTTGAAAGGCTGGTTGCTTAGTTAGATCCAAAAATCAAACTTTTCTATGGCCTTGGGCCCTAATAGTCAACCTTTTTTCAGAAACCAAATCTTCATTTCGCCGGCACAAGGATTGCTGCACCTTTACATTTACTAATAACACTCTTATTCCATATAGTCCATGCACCGCTGCCAACCTTGATCCACATCAAGCCTCCGCCTCCAAAGCTACAGGAGAAGATGGTTGCATCAAACTCCTGCCTTCTTTCTCTTCAAGTAACATCTTATCTGTGTTTTGATGGAATTTTGGAACATGCATGGATAATTTTGGTCCGTGTTTTGATGATTTCTCTAATTTCTAAGTATTGACCATCCAGAGAAAATTCAGGTCTTCTGTTACTCATAGTAAATATCATGATGATAATAATAGTTTACTCCTAATGGTTCTCTTTGTTCCGCTAGAAAGAAGTGGACGATTGTTTGAGGAAGTAGGGGAGAGAGTGAAGCATGTGATTTTTCAGGCAAGTTTGTCAAAGCCATTTGAATGAGAGGCTCAGGATAGCTGGTGGTAAAGCACAGAACAGCATTGGCGCTGCTAAGGAGGCTGATCTCCGGGCAACCTAATGTTCATTCATTTGCGACATCAGATTTGGGCTGCAACTGTGAGTTCTTTTCAATCTTATAATCAAACTCGATGCATTCTTGAATGTGGTGCAACAGTTTTTCTTTTATAATCATACTATATTATATAAATTCATATTGTGAATATAATCTAGATATAGACTAATATAAAAAGCACGAGTTGTTTAGTTGCAATTAGCGCTTAACCCTCCAATTAGCGCTTAACCGTCGCCAAATCGAAAAAAACCGCGCCCCGCACCCCTCGCCTCGCCTCCGCCTCCTCCGCTCGTGCGCGCGTGAAGAAGAAAGAGGAACGAGGAGAGAAGAAATCGAGAAGAGGAGAAATCGAGAAGAGAAGAAAAGGGACACTGTCAGGTGGGACCCATGTTCCTTTAATTAATCTTGCACAGTAATCATCCTCTTAATCCTGCATTATTATCTCATTGACACGTGGGTCCGGTTGCACAAATTCTTGATTAAATCTATATCTATACTCTATACTAATCTACTAATATAAAAAGTACCAGTTCATTACCAATCCCGCAATCTTCTAGACCCACTCTCACGTGGGTCCCACCTGTCATCCCTAAGAAAGAAACCGCACCGCGCACGAAAAAAAGAATCGCTGCGAAAGGAAGAAACTGCACCACACGCGCCATCCCCATGCCGCCGCTCCGCCCTCCTCACCTCACCGGCAAATCAATCCACCGCATCCACTGGCCGCTGCCGCCGTTGCCGCGATCCCAGAAGATTATGCGGGCACCACCACATCCATCCCCGACGACGTGTTCTTCTCCCACATCTTCGTGAACCTCCCAGTAACATCCCTCGCATGTTTCAGGGCAGTTTGCCGCTCGTGGCACGCCGCCGTCGACGACCCCGCCTTGGTCCGCTGCCAACTCGAGCGGTTGCGCGCGAGGCAGCTGCCAACGTCATCCTTGCTTGCTGTCGCGAGCACGGAAGATATATGGGACGAGAAAGCACACTCTCCAACTTCGAGGTTGTCAGCTTCACCGGCTAAGGCTTACCCTGCGGGCGGCGGCTAGACCAGGAGCGAGAGCGGTGGCGGCGCCGCCGCTAGACATCACCGCCGAGACTGATCCGATGCACCACAAGTCTATCCCTAACGGCGGCCGTATCACCCGCCATATCATCCCCACCCACTGCGACGGCCTTGTCGCCTTCGCCACCTACGGCAGGGCCATGCTCGTGTGCAACCCGGCCACCCAGGAGCTCGTTGTGCTGCCGCCCGGCAACGGCAGCGGCCCATGCCCACGGTCTACAGAATCAACGGCGGCGGTTGGCTTCGACCCGTGGCGGAACAGGTACGTCGTCGTCAGGTGCTTCTACTGCAAGTCCCACAACGATCCGCCGGTCTACAACATCGGACACGAGATCTTCACGCTCGACACAGGCGCCGGCGATGGATGGCAGCGCATGCAAGACCCGTCGCGTGCCATCAGTCCCGGCGGGAGGAGACCCGCCGCCTGCACGCGTGGGGGTTCCTTCTACTGGTTCATCAACGAGTCTCAGCCATGCGAGCTGCTGTGATTCAACCTGCGAGATGAGGCGTTCGACGCGGTCCCGTCCTCTCTGGGCTGCACGGCCTGACACAACGACGACCGTCTCTCGGACCTCGCCGGTGAGCTGTGCTACGTGCATCACGTCCGCACGAGCGTGGCCACCCACGAAGTTTGGATGGCGGCGGCAGTCGATGACGATGACTAGGAGTGGTGGCTGCGATACCGAGTGGACCTGTGACACAACCCGTGGGGCGCGGCGGCGGCGGCAACGGCCAACGCTGGTTCCACAACTTCGGCACCACGGTGGCCGGCGACGATGGCGTGGAGGAGGAGGCGACGTTGGTGGCCATGTTGTACAAGGAGCTGTGGTGGCACAGGGAGCGGAGCAAACCGGTGGTGAAAGACGTGAACATGCAGGGGAGCCGGTGCAGTTGTGAGTCGGCTCATCTTGAAAATAACTTACACACGTTGACATGTTTAGTCAGTGTTTGTTGCTGCTTCAGACATATGCAAAGGGAAAAATGTCAGTGTACGGAAGAAAAATGTCATAGAGAGGCATGGGGGTAGGGGTTTATTTTTACAAATTCAAAATAAATTTGATCAAACAAGAAATCTTTAAGTACATACATAACCTCAAATTGATATGGTAAGCTCGCCAACATGTGAAAAGATAACCAATGAGGATTGATATGGGACTTACTATCAACATCTTCAGGAATGATTTATTCCAATAAGATAACATTACCAGAACATAGTTTTTTTATGATTTATGTTACCACATACTAACCCTCATGATTGATTTAGGCAGTGGATGTATATGGTCAATATATGTCGACGTGCCTCACTAGTTATTAATAAAGTAGCACTATTCATCGTCCTCTTTCCCCTCTCTCTCAGGCCGGGCTAGCCTTCTCTCTCCTATCCTTTTATTTTTCAGCCCATCAGTAAGCCGGCCCAGTCCACTCCCTCCTCTTTTTTTCCTACGCGGCCCAGCTAGCACGGGCCAGACCGACCAACACGTGCCCACGCACGCAGCTTGCTCGACGCATGCCGCGCCACACCTCACCTCGGGTCGGCCCTGCCTGCTGCAGCCTGCATCCCTTTAGGGCAAGCTTCACAGTGGAGATGATAGTCTCCCTTAATTCAGTTCACATCATTAACTCATTAATGAAAATGTACTACTCCCTCCGTATTTTAATGTATGACGCCGTTGACTTTATAATCAACATTTGACCATTTGTCTTATTCAAAATTTTTGTATAAATATAAAAATATTTATAGCATGTTTAAAGAACATTTGATGATAAATCAAGTCAAGATAAAATAAATGATAATAACATAAATTTTTTGAATAAGACAAATGGTCAAACGTTGATTAAAAAGTCAACAGCGTCATACATTAAAGTACGGAGGGAGTATATACTACAACAAATTACCTCTAGCACACTTACCATAATACATCATATTAATTTTGATTTATTTGTTTGCTATCAATTCATTGGTCTCTTGTTCTTATATCTCTTAAAGTTTGTATAGAGGTTGTTCCTTATATGAGAGGTGTCTCTTTCTCTCTCCTTTCATCTCTCTCATCCACCTCATCATGTGAGCTTACATGGCACCTAGGGGTAAGTGTGTAGAGGCTTAGACCATTCCCAACCCAATGATTAGGATGGTGTCTATAGCATTAAATAAGCTGTCACCTAGGATGAAAGATGATGCGGCAAGTGAATAAATGAGTAAAGAGAAGGGAAACAAGTTTGGTACGAGACATGGTTTCTACACAACATCCAATACATCATATGAGATAAGCAGCATTAAATTTAAGTATGGAAAAATTGTGTTTGCGTTGAAAGAGTAGTGTAGTTTATTGATTATGTGAAGTTTATGTAAACTATGTCTAGTGTTTTGGGTTGAGACTGGCCTTATACTACTGGCCACTATCCACTTCTCCCCACCGTCACAAAGAAGACATACGCATGCATTAGAGTAAGTTGGTTTAATAGTGTAGCCAACTACTAGCTCCAAATCATCTATGGCCAAATTAATAGCCAATTTGTATAATACTTACTCACTACGCTATTAATATCTGGTCCCACCTGTCATACACATTATGTCTTGGAGTCCATGCTGTAGGCCTGTAGCTGGCTATAGATCTGTAGCCCACTGTTTTTCTCTCATCTTTTATCTCTTTAAAATATGATTATATCTGATTTATAATAATGCTATTGTACCTGCTCTTGTATCGAAGAACACGGCAAGATCACACTTTCTGATTCACTTTCTTGTATGATTTTATTAGATACAAGAGAAAGGTACTACTGCTTTTAAAAGTAACGAGCTAAAAACAATCACCTAGACTCATTAAAGTACTTGACTCCTTAATTACCTAACTGACTCTTCGATTATCTGAAAAAAAAAATCCTTGGTTACTTAATTGACTGCTGTATATTATTACCTCCGGATTGATAATACTTATCGTTTTAGAAAGGATGAGGTCAAACTTTAGAATATTTGATTATGAATTATTTTTAAAATATTTGTCTTTCAAATATGGTGACTACGTATATAAATTAGTCTTAAAAAACACTTTTAATAAAATCATATATTTATAAACACTTTTATACATATTATAATGAAAAATTAATGATTAAAGTTATTTTTTGAAGACCGTGCTCTTGTCTAAAATAACAAGTATTATCAACCCGGAGGACGAGAACTACTCACAATCCCCCCTCTTATCTAGACTCTAATGTCCTCCAAGCTCATCGATCTTGACTACGACGTGCTCTAGAACTTGATTCAGGATGGTGAATACACCTCTGCAGCGACCTGATCTATACTTCTTGTACTCATATCAAGATGGCGACCACAACTTCACATCCTAAATTCATCTCCCATGGTGTCTCAACTCAGAATGGTCCACACATCTTCTCTATGTCCTGGGCACATCTCCCATGGATGAGCATTTTCTTAGAGCAGGTATAATAGCAGGCTATAAACCAGCTGTAAACATATTTTAAGAAGATAAATAAAGAGAGAGAAGAGCAGCGGGCTATAGATTTGTAGCCAGCTGTAGCACGGACTTCAAGATACAGTGTGTGTATGATAGATGAGACCAGATATTAATAGTGTAGTATGTAACTATTGTATAGCTATTAGATTGGTTATAAATGAATTAGAGTTAGTAGTTGGCTATACTATTTAACTTGCCCTTATGGACACATCTGACACAAGAAGTCTCATGCAGATTGTTGCTCTCTATGCAGCCTGGACTCCTCGAAATCTTCGACCAGCATAACTTAGGTTCGCGAACCCTGAACCCGTTCTCGACTTGGGTCATCGTTCCGTAATTTCTTGGTTCATGACCCAACTAATGATTTTTCTTATTGAGGAGGCATACTCAAGGTCGTACCACATTTCTTTCAGGTCGCGTCCCATGAAGCACGACAAAGTATTTCGTAGGGATGCAAGCGGAGTGGGCAAGTCGGCTTTTTTATCCCGCTTGTGCCACTTCTAGTTTATTTTTTCTTCTAAATTTTATACTATCATGTGAAAAATAGACTAGCAAGCGGGTTTTTATGTGGGTAGCGGGACTACCCACTTGCATCCCTAGTATTTCGACCCATTCGACTCGAGTTGTTGGTGACCCTGACACTACTACACAAAAAATTCTCTGTACGATGACCCTTATAAGTTGTAGATGAACTATAATTGATCGCACCTGTAAAGATTGTTTTCCAAGGGAAGGTTCACGGCGCATGCGGTCCTTAAGAGATCCGTCAATGAAAATAGACTTATATTTTAGGTGGACCTCTTAAGAGACCGCATACAATTTTTGCATGTGGGCAAAGGGGTGAGTAAGTGGGCCCCACGTAATATCCCGCTCCTTTTATTCTCCTACTCATTCTCTCTACCGCACCTTTCCTCTCCTACTCTTGTTATACACTCCTACTTCCTCTCATCCCTTCCTCTCCCCCATCCCACTCTAGCAGCTAAGGCGGATGCGGTGGGAGCGGGCAGGCGGCGTCGACGGCGACCACTACTACGATGACCGACGACAACTTCCGCGACGACCGGCGGCATTGGTGGAGGGCTGGATCTGCTAGTGCCAGGCCTTGGGTGAGCGGGATCCGCTGCCACCAGGCCTTGGGACGCACGGATCTATCGTTGCCGGGCCTCGGCAACTTGGACCATGTCGGTAGTGATGGTGGCGGCCTCGAGCGACAACCACGACGGTGGATCCTGGCACGACGACGGCAACGGATCCTACGTGACACGACCGCGGATTAGGGTTTCTGTGTTATATAGATCTAGGGTTTTTGTTTTCGGAATTGTTTTGTCGCCAAAATTATTTTTACATGCAGACGGCTTAAGCATCTGCTTGCGAAAATCGGATTTTCGCATGCCGTTTTGCTAGTGGGCCACCCGTCTGCATGCAAAAATCACTTTTGGCCGCATCGGAAAACGATTTCCCTATCAACTACGAGCACAAGAGCCACGCCGCCGCACCACCTTGGTCTCCCCATCCAGCGCTGCTTAGCGCCCCCATCTGAAGATGCGTCCTCCTGGATCCAGACGCCACCACTTCTGCTGCCACCACCAACTGGAGCCGGCCCGCGTCAAGCTCCTCCATGGCCTGTACTGCTGCTCGTCGAAGCCGTAGCCCGCTGCCCAAGTTCATGTCGACAAACCACGCTGCCCACGAAATTCTTGCCCTTGCCTTGTGATTTGCTCGATCGATTGCTTTGGTTGTAGCAATCCGATGGAATCCATGCTGATTTTATTGGGTTTGAGTTCAACTCATGACTATCTCAGAATCCTCGTTCTTCCCAATACGTGTACGGCTAGGTTTCCTCCTTGATTGTTTGGTATGCGTGTCTAAGGGTCTGTATGGGAAAGCTTCTAACTGCTGCAGTTTCTTTCAGAATCAGAAGCTCCTCCAAACAGTTCAGATTTTGATCCAGATTCTAAGAAACTGTAGTTGTAGAATCTAGTAAATGAACTAGAAGCCAAAAGCTAAACCCAGCTTTTCCAGATTCTCAGAAGCTGGCTCAACCAGTTGCTTCTCAGAATCTTATGCTCCCCAAACAGACCCTGAGTGTAGCTCCACGTCCAAGTAATCTCCATCGCAACTGGGCACACAGAATACGAATCCCACACGATCTAGGCTTCTCTGAAGCCTGCCACGACCGACATCGTCCCTGGTCACTTTCTCGGCTCAGCCTCGACATAGATCGCACACACCGCCTTAAATTGGGTGACCACCTGAGCCTCATGTACATCCTGCAGCCTTGAGCACCTTCACAAGTACCTTCCGTCAACTCCGCCATCGACGAAGCCATCGATCTGTAGAATTCTGTGCATGTCGCATGCTGCTGGTACACTGTCTTCATAGCAATCCATCGTTTAAAAAACTTAGTCGACAACACCTCCATCAGCCTCTAGGGTCCATCTGTTCCGACGTCCGATTGAATGCCATCAATCTAGTCACGAGCCGAGACCGACAAATCACATGTCATCCTTCCAGCCACCGAACGACCCAAGCGCTACATCTAGCGATCTTCCTGTCGAACATGGCTCATAGAAAGGCCTGGGCCACCCTGCCCATAGTGTTCGATTCCATTTACTGAGAACACTGATCGCCTGCAACTTTCAACTCGAGCATGGGGCCCCATATCTCCCTGTTGAGAGTAGCTAAGAGGAAAGTCCGGGCCACCCGCTCAAAGTGTCTGACCCACCGAATGGATCGCCAATCGCTTTCGCCGCCATCAACCCGAGCACTACGTCTAGTCATCTTTCTGTCGATTGCAGCTATCGAACGGTTCAGACCGCCGCATGAAATGTTCGATCCACCGATTAAATCGTTGCTCACCGACATGCTCCACCTTGCTCACATGTCCCTTGCTAGATATAAACCGCAAGCGGCGGGATGTCAAGCATCTCCATCGCGCCTCTACCATGGATCTCCTGTAGGCTCTAATACTACTTATTATAGAGCAAGCCCGAAATTACCATCGAAAACCAAACGTGGCAGAAACGCCATAGGAGATCCAAAACAGATGACGTTACCGAGGCACGATATGTGATAACGAATTTCAGCTGAAGTCTACATCTTCTGGGTACTGATTACAGGTGCTCCTCTCTCATCCAGCATATTATAGCTTATCAGAGTTACAATGACCCTCGACCAGATACCGATGGTAGTCGCTACCTCTCGCTTATGTGAAGTTGCCATTGTCGTCATGCAGTTACAACAGGTCTGCTCTCTATTTAAGAGTGATCCTCGGGTAGAGTCTGACTCTTACCCTATTTCGATATCCAGTACAACTCCAAATTCTAAACTGTAATCAATTTTATACACATATTTGAACAAACACTAACAAAATGTTAGAGTTTACTACTGTGGAGATACCTTGTCCGGCCAATACAGAAGTTGAGACTTTACTACCGTGGAGCGGCTTTTTCTAAAAGATGAGAGGGAAACTAGTGTCAATGGTCTATATCTGCAGTAATAAAAGGGGTAGTGTATAAGGTCTAAAAGTGGATAGATTGTAGGGACAAATGATTTAGACAGGTTTAGGCCTTATACCAAGTGTACTGCTCCCGCTAGAAAATCATCTCCTGATGCCTCCCCATGCATCGCAGATCTGCACCAACTCGATTTCCTTCCTTTCCATTTCCAACTTATTAACCTAAGCAACATGGAAGACTTGCGTATTATTCGCGTCTTGTTGCCCAGGAAAGCTAGCTGCTATACACAATGCTAAACAGCCTTCGATCGAGTAAAAAGACTAAACGGTGCACTAATTCACATGGAAGGCTGTGTTCTTCCCCCTATTTTCCCAACTCAGCTCTCTCGTTTTCCGCAAGCACGCTTTTCGAACTGCTAAATGGTGTGATTTATAAAAAAATTTCTACTCCCTCCATCTACTTTTGATAGTCATATTTCATCTTAACACACAGACCAAGGATAAGTAATTCTACTTATCATCCATTTAAACATGCTACTAGTCATTCCTCGTAAAGAAGCAATTCATTAATATTTATATTTCTCAATACCCATGTAGCCAATCATGTGTGGAAGAATGGAGAGTCACACATTAAATTCGAGAAAATCATTAAGAGGATAAGTTATTGGATTAAAATATGCCTATTAAAAATAAAATTTTCAGATTTGGAAATATGACTATCAAAAATAGATGGAGCGAGTATATGAAAGTTATTTTAAAAAATCATATTAATCCATGTTTTTTTTAAAAAAGTTAACACTTAATTAATCATGCAAATACGAGCTTCGTTTTACATGCTAGGGAGGAGCCTAAAAACTGGCCTGCCCTTTGCTCCCACATTTATTCTGAACTCATTACCTTCTTTTTCTGATGAACACACTAATATATATCTACAAAGACTTGGGAAAGTACAAGATGAAATTAAAGAAAAGTTAATGCCATATGCTGGGAGCCTGGGACGTTACATTACGTTGGCGTACCTGAATATATACGAAAATGAATATCTGGCTATAAATAGTACTTCAAAGTGGAGTTCTTTCATGAACACGTACATCACATGAATGAGATACTTTCTCAGTTAAATCTGTTCTAATATCCACTGTAGACTAATTCACATGAATGGAGTCATGGTTGCACCGGGTGCTCTGAGATACACCTACAAAGCTAGGTATAAACTTAATTTCCTCATGTTATTATGCCATCCATCAACGACGTCACATACGCATAGGAGTGAGAGGCATCAGGAGTATTTTGCAAAGCACTGCACAATGGATCAGCATGGGTGTTTCAGCGCATTTATAGTACCAGTTTATATTAGCAAAGGAGCAAGTCGCTTCAAATTAAATTACCTGCACCAACGTCTGAAGCACTAGTCGCCGCAGGATTGTCTTATCTGGCTACGTCTTGTTACACGATGATCACTATGTCAGCCGAAAAATGACTGGAGAAACCATTATACATATATTTCTCTATATATATCAGTCAGCAAAATTGGCCAACTGACAAGTCAGTATGTCTTCTGTTAGTGAGCGTGCCCTTTGTTCGACGACAGTGAGAAAATTAACCAGTAACTAATCCTGTTTTCCCCAGCCAAAACATTGCTAGGTGGAAGGGGAAAACAGATCCAACAGTAATTGTGTCGAAGGAAATGTTGAGGATTAATAGTAAGTTTGTTCACTGGGTACTGGAAAGAATCATATCATCGGATATCCGTCTCTAGAAACAATCAACCTTATTATTATTATTTTAGATGTTTAATTTTACTAAGGTTTACATTGGATATCTATCTATCTATTATATACAAAAAGTCCATTAAACTTCCTACAAACGCTCTTAAGCCGCCACGTGGCACTCCTACAAACGCTCCTAAGTCGCCATATGGCACAATTTAATCTCACCGTCGATTTTCACTTAAATTGGTGGACCCGTTATTGTAGACCATTAGATCAGATCTATTATTAAAAAATAATAACTTTTGTATTGTTTATAACATAGGAGCGCTGTCCGTATGTATGATTTTGTACGATACAAATACTACTGCTGTTCTTCCCGTATGTATACAAACGTACATGATTGTGAAAACAAAACGATAAAATTTCCTAATCTTCGCTGGAAGAAAACAAATACACATGTATACATAAAAAAGACAGAGAATTTATATATGCATTCATAAAAATCAACGGTCTTTTTAAAATATGATTTTCTACAATA